ATCACACTCACCTGTTGTTAATTAGCTTCACTTGTGTCACCTGGTGTTCCCTGTGTATATATACCCCTCTCCCTCACTCTGTCGGGGTTGGATCATTGTGATTGTGATTGTGTTAGATCTTCGTGTTCGTGAGTTTCCTACTCTGTGTTTCCTCGTGTTCCGTGTTCCCGTGTTTTCCTCGTGTTCCTCGAGAATTCCATGCATGTTAGTTCTTCGTGTTTTGTTAATTTGGACTTTGTTAATAAAACTTCCTGCACCAGAAAGAGTCTCTCCAGTACTGCATTTGGGTCCTGCCTGCTCCCTGCGATGCTCGCACATGACACAGGAACTTAAATGTAAGTCAGTTTAAGTAGTTTGAAGCTGCTTTTGTGCTGCTGCACAGGAGAAGCATCAAACACACATCTCTACCTGCTATAAAAACTAAAAATATATTCAAAAGAAAATTAAAATATTAAAAAATCTGCCAACAATGCTTTCTGTGTATAGAATCTATGTAAAAGGTATTGGATAAAACCTGTCCTCCACTGAGACTGGTTCTACAACATGCCATTCCACAGGTGAACCACCCTATACTCTCACTTCAGTTAGAAGTCACAGGAAAACAATTTCATTTGGAAACAATGAACATGACAAAAAATACTGATGATAATTGAACTCTGGTGGATTTTAATCTGAGGGAATATTTATTGTATTGTAACTCACTTACAATTCACCCATACTTTATATTGGTAAAATACTTATATTGGTATAAATAAAGACAAACTGTAGTCAAATGCATACAGTGCATCAAGCAGCTATACAATGAACGAGTTCTTTATTTAGATAGAAAAAAGGAACTTCCTAAAAGTTGCAGGAAATATGCAGGGACATATTACCTTTTAGGTGATATGTGTTTTAGAAGGATGTATGTACATCTGACCATTATATTTACTGTGTACCAATAAACTACAGTCCTCAAGAACGTTGTTTCACCAGGAGCAAAATACTTTGGGGTATTTTACTGCTGGTGAAACAATGCATTCAAATTCCTGTGTTCATTTTAATTAAATAAAACTTGTAGTTAGTTTTATGTAGCTATAAGTCTCCAAACTACATCATTAGAATAAAAATTCAACAAAGAAATACCATTTTTAACTGTAAATTGAATCTTTTTTCCTATGTTTTGCAACCCTTCAAAGATTTGTCCAATGTTTATCTATAACTACAGTTTACAAATTGGGAGATATTGTGTGAAACTGTGTACAACATCAAAGGTGATTTGCTTTTAGGTATTTTATAAATATCTGCAGATAAATACCGGTTTAATACAAGCATCACGTCTTTAATGCAATATTAAGGAATACAAAAAGTGCAACAGGCCTAATTTACAAATAAAAACCAAGCTCTGTTTTTTTCTTCAGTATGGGAGCATGGGAGCACAGTGTGTGTGTGTGTGTGTGCGTATGCGTGTAAGAAAGAGGAAAGAGAGAGGAAAAGGGAGAGAGACGCTGATAAAAAGCTGTAAAAAAGAGGAGTGGGAGGTGCGAACTTTTATTTCTTTTTTCCAATCAATGCTTACAGAAAGGTTGGTACAATTTTTTAAAGAAAAATATTAAATTAAATGTAATTTGGCTACTAGATACTTGGTCATTTATTTGATAATTTACTTGATTATATTTATCAATATGTTTTTAAGCAGTGTTTAGATAAGTGATACCTGCAACACACTCCATAAAGGTGTCTTTTCCCCATTACAGTCCAACCTTGTAAAACTGCTGTAGTTTTTAATACGTGTATTTTTTTACATTTTTGTATGCTAGACATGAGATGCGCAACGGAACTTTTTTTTGCGTTTTATTGTAGATATTTCTAGCAGTCCTGTTCTGTTTCTTTTCTTTCGCTGATAGGCCACTTGGTTATGAATAAAATATATTAAATTAAAACACAAAATATAATAATGATCATAATAATAATAATAATAATGTCCATCTTCATTGCATTCATTATTTTTAAATTACCCACAATTTTAACTGGTTAGGACAACAGAAGAGCCGGGTGTAAGTGGCTGCCTTTCCCTTCCAGCAGGTCACTCTTCTCCATCAGTGAGGACGGCGCGCAGAGCTGTGCCGACGCGGACTGCAGCCCAGTCAAGCCTAGCACGGCACCCAAGGACGGGGTTGGTTTGATGGGCACTGGGACAGCGGGCAAGGTTTGCCCGTTGGCATTGTGGTACAGGCCTTTTGTTGACACACCAAAGGGCGCGTTTTCGGGTGAAGATGGCATGGACACCCCACACATGGACTCTGACAGCATCCCGACGTGCGGCCACATGGAGTTGACCATGCTGCTGAGCTGCGGCGGCTGCCGCGGCCGTGACCCGGGGAAGGGGGGCGGGCGGCCCCCGGCGCCGGCCGGGCCGGCCGAGTGGTCATGGTGGCCGTGCGCTGCACCCAGCTTGCTTCCCGGGTGGTGGTGATGGTGAAAGTAGTGCATCACCGGGGAGCTTTTGCAGGCCATGTGCTCAGCTCGGTGCACCTTAAAGCGCTTACGTCTCCTCAGAAAGCTGCCGTTCTCAAACATGTTACCACAGTCCGGGTGCAAAGCCCAAAAGCTGCCTTTTCCTGGCTGGTCAGGCCGCCGAGGGATCTTGATGAAGCAGTCGTTGAAGGAGAGATTGTGTCGGAGGGAGTTCTGCCACCTCTGAGTGTTCTCACGGTAATAAGGGAAGCGGTCCATGATGAACTTGTAAATATCACTCAGGGGGAGCATCTTTTCGGCTGAGTTCTGAATAGCCATCGCAGTCAGAGAAATGTAGGAGTATGGAGGCTTCTGGTCGTTGTAAGAGTTCTTCCCAGGACGGGGCATGACGATTGGTCTCTTTAATTTGGCTTTTTAGTTTGAATTTTTTTAAAAGTTTAAATTGCAGTGTTTTTTAACTCATATCAGTCCCCTTTTGATGGATCACTCCAAAATGTATCAGCCATCAAATTAAAATAAGTTAAATACAGGTGTAGGGTAGGGTGATATCCCGCCTTGTATGGACTAATGCAGTGTAACCTGAAGGGCCGCTGGAGTCAGCTGAGATCCTAGAAAATCTTCTTGATCCAAATCAGGCGGATTTTTGTCTTTTTTTGTCCCAACAAAGCTCATGAAGTCGTGCGTAAAAGTCGGTCTTCGTGCGTAAAAGTTGACGGGTCTCGTGTTTCACCAGATTCTGTGAAGATGTGAGGGGTCAACGTGCTCCTCTCCTCTGGTGTGATGCTCCCACTCGTGGAGCGCTGTTTTTGTAAGACCCCGGCAGGTCGTCGGCTGTGATGTCTATTATGCAGTCAGGAGGAGCATGGATGCACAGTGTGCGTGTGTGTATGTGTGTGCGTGCGTGTATGTGTGTAAGAAAGAGGAAAGAGAGGAAGAGGGAGAGAGACGCTGATAAAAAGCTGTAAAAAAAGAGCAGTGGGAGGTGCAAACTTTTATTTCTTTTTTCCAATCAATGCTTACAGAAAGGTTGGTACATTTTTTAAAAGAAAAATATTAAATTAAATGTAATTTGGCTACTAGATACCTGGTCATTTATTTGATCATTTACTTGATTATATTTGTCAATATATGTTTTTAAGCAGTGTTTAGATAAGTGATACCTGCAACACACTCCATAAAGGTGTCTTTTTCCCATTACAGTCCAACCTTGTAAAACTGCTGTGGTTTTTAATACGTGTATTTTTTCCATTGTTGTATGCTAGACATGAGATGCGCAACGGAACTTTTTTTGCGTTGTCGACTTTCGCTTTTTATTGTAGATATTCTAGCAGCCTTTGACACTTTTAGTTTATACTCAGTAAGTTCATTCTATTTGCCTAATATGAAGTAATTAAGATAATAAATACATGCAATCCACTCCAAAAATGTTGGGACAGGGGAGACAAATTTGACGTTACGCACAGAGATGTCATTTTAATGTGTATGAGCTTTAGGAGAAAATTAGATGCCACATCAAAAAGTAGTTAATTACTTTTCGACTGGTAAAATGCCACAAATCCGCTGTCTTGGTCCAAAGATTGGCGTTTAAATGTAGTATGTGTTTCAGAGGATATTCCCCAAACCCTTTTGAATGAGGTAAACGTGTCAGAGAATGTGGGCCATTGGAGCGTTTAGACACGTTTCAAGGCTGAATAAAAATAGGAACAAAGTGAATAAACAGTTTAAATGTAGTCTCTTAATTTGCTTACTTTGCTGGACTGCACTTTCAGACATTGCAAATGTAACCAGGTTGAAATTATATCTTTACTTTTACGTTTGAAATTTCACCAAATCCTGATGAATATTGTTTTCTAAGAAAATCACTTTTTAGAGCCACTTCACTCGATAAAGAGAGAACATTCAAGTCTAATGAAAAGGGTGTATGTGTGTGTAAAATAAAACGTTTTGTTTTAATGCATAGGAATTAGTGATGGGAAGACCAACTATTTTTATTGATTCGAATCTTTGACTCTTGAACAGTAAAATGAACGAGTCGTGAACGAATCTTGAACTAATCATTCCATTCGTTTTACAGCAGGTGGCGCTTTAGTCCTATTGTGGGCGTTGTAAAGAAGGCTGCGGTTCCCCGACACTAAATACTGAAGGCACCATGGTTTGCTTCCGCAAAACGCAAACTTTCACACTTACAACATTGAGACAGAGAAGACTGAGCAAGATTCTGGAAGCACCAAACATCTCATTTACACATGAAGGCATCAATATGGCGGATCACATAGGGACAGGGGAGCCACACACGTGTGCAGACAGAGTGGTGAAAGAAGAGAAGGTGAGAACAGACTTACAGGCCACACCGATTGCAGGAGCGAGAGACTTATTTACTGATGGATGCTGTTTCAGACATGAGACAGATGGTCTCAGGGCAGCGTATGCAGTAGTGGAAGAAAAGGATGGACTATTGGTAACACAGAAAGCAGAGAGACTAGGGGGACAGCAATCAGCACAAAGAGCAGAAGTGGTGGCAGTAATTGAGGCCCTCAAGATAGGGAAAGGACAGGAAGTGAACATTTACACAGACTCAGCATATGCAGTAGGAGCAGTGCATGTTGAATTAGGGCAATGGATGAGAGTTGGATTTCTGACGGCAGGTAACAAACCCATTAGACATGAGACTGAGATGAAAGAACTAGCAGAAGCATTACTACTACCAAAGAGAGTAGCAGTCATAAAATGTAAAGGACATGACACAGGGACAGACAAAGTGACAAAGGGAAACAACGCAGCCGACCAAGCAGCGAAACAGACGGCAGGGTACCTAGACAGAATGATACTCATGTGTTCAGAGACCGAAATGCAACCTACAATGACTATGGACGGACTGATCCAGTTACAAAACAAAGCGTCTCCACAAGAGAAAACTCTGTGGAAAGCAAGGGGAGCCACTGAGACGGACGGACTTTGGAGAGGACCTGATGGTAGGCCTATCCTACCCCCAGGACTAAGACAAACAGCAATGGAAGAGGCACATGGGGTAGGACATGTAGGGGTAGCACAAATGCTAAGAAATCTTGACCATTGGTGGCACCCTTTTCTCAAAGACATGGCTCAGTACCTGACTAAGACATGTGAACAATGTACCAAATTTAACACCAGACCTACCATCAGACCAGAACCAGGAAGGTATCCATTGGAAACAAAACCAGGAAAAGAGATCATCATTGACTACACAGACATGGTAGATTCGGTTCGAGGGTACAGGTACGTTTTGATGTGTGTAGATGCGTACACAGGGTGGCCAGAAGCCTGGCCTACGAAGAAAGAGGATGGTAAGTCGGTAATAAAATTCCTGGTAAACCACTATATACCAAGGTATGGATTCCCAGAAAAAGTAAGATCAGACAACGGGACTCATTTTAAGAACAATGACCTCCAACAGGTGGAGGCGATGTTGGGACTAAAACACTCTTTTGGTACAGTCTATCATCCTCAGTCACAGGGCAAAGTTGAAAGAATGAATCAAACGGTAAAAAACAAATTGGCTAAAATCTGTGCACAGACCAAAATGAATTGGCTAGACGCCCTACCGTTAGCCTTAATGTCAATAAGAAGTTCAGTCAACCACTCCACAGGGTTCACACCACATGAGTTACAAACAGGGAGAGCGTTTCCCGGCCCACACTCCAAACTCCCTCTCACCCAAAATGATGATCAAGATCTAACTTCTAAAGCTTATTTCCACGAACTGCAGGGTTTGGTGTCTACATTTTCAAAACAGGTGAAGGACCAGCAGACCGCAGGAAAAGGCACAACACCTCCAGAGGCAGAGTGGGTTCTGCTCCGAGTCATCAAAAGAAAGTGGTCGGAACCACGCTGGACAGGTCCATTCCAGGTAACTGAAAGAACAACCCACGCAGTACGCCTGAAAGGAAAAGGAGACACTTGGTTTCATTGGAGCCAGTGTGCAGCAGCTGAGGAACCACAACGCTCCCTGATCGACATTCAGAGAAACCTCCAAGAACAGAACACCGAGTCGGCTGACTCGGAGACAGATCCTACCGACAAAGGGGCAGAATAATCCCCTGGTAGTGATCCAAGACTCCAGGGAAGTCCACTCCTGGAGTCCGAAGAGAAGAACTCCATCCGGGAGGAGGTGAAATAGCGCTCCTCTCCTACATGTAGCGTGCCAAGCTACCACCTCAAGAAAGAAGACATCTCCCAGATGAACCTTATCAAATTAACATTGTGTATTGCATGCTGGTTTATTTTTCTTGTCATTTTTGCATGGGCCTTGTGTAAACTAGCTATCACAGGGACAACGCGCTTTTAAAGAGTACAAGAACGCAAAACCATGTTCATGTACCGTTTAAATACGAGGCCTTATTCATATTTTCACTAGTAATCATTGAGGGAGTAATTCTATGGTTCTACTGCGATCTCCCCACTCAGAGTTGTAATATATAACATAGCCACGGAACCCGAGGAGCTCGAACACTATCAGCTCGAAAATCTAGAAGCATACTTCTATGGTAATGTTGAACTCTGAAGAGAGTTCAAAAGGGGGAATTGTGGATAAAATATATTCATGTGTTCATAGTTTATAGAAGTATGCAACATATATAATCATGTTTTAAAAAGATCATAAGAGATGTGCTAAAACATATAACCAGCTTGAACATAAAATGCTGCTTAAAGCTAGAACTGAAAACATGCAGATGTAGAGAAGGAGCTGCGAGGTTGAGATAAAACCAAGGTTTGTTGTGAAAAGAGGAGTACTTGGTGTGATGGGAAACAGAAACTTTTAGAATACAATTTGACAATGGCTGGATTCATAGTTAGAACACAAGGTCCCAACAACAGCACCTGGGCGCGATAAGAACAGGATGAGAAACTAACGGTGTAGATGCAGTTGCCAAAAAGAATGTATGTCTGTGTGTAGAACAAATGAAGTCTGTATCGCTTGAGATGTACCACCTGGATGTGTGTGTCAATAAAACAAGCCTGAGTTGGTGGAGAGAGCAGGATTCAGCAGTCAACCCCCTGACTCTCCGCTGGACCCTCCCTGTGCACAGGCGAACTCGAGCAACGACTTTTGTCTTTTCTTTATACTTTGTGAAAGTTCTTGATCAACGAATCCGGGGTGGTAAAACCTTACCACAACAACAGTGAAAGATTAGTTCACGGCGAAAGATTAGTTCACAGTGAAAGATTAGTTCGTAGTGAAAGATTAGTTCACAACCATAGATTAGTTTGCAGAGAGTAATTCGTTCGTAGTGAAAGATTAGTTTACAGTGAAAGATTAGTTCGCAGAGAGTGGTTTGTTCGCAGAGTGTGATTTGTGAGTGATTTGTGAGTTCAATATGAACAAATATTTCATATGATTCGGGAGTCACGAATCTTTCATATGACTCGGGAGTCACGAGTCATATGAAAGATTCGTTCATTTTGAACGAATCACTCGCGAACGACACATCATTAGTTCACAGCGAAAGATTAGTTCACGGCGAAAGATTAGTTCACAGCGAAAGATTAGTTCACGGCGAAAGATTAGTTCACAGCGAAAGATTAGTTCACGGCGAAAGATTAGTTCACAGCGAAAGATTAGTTCACGGCGAAAGATTAGTTCACAGCGAAAGATTAGTTCACAGAGAGTGATTAGTTCGTAGTGAAAGATTAGTTCACAGCCATAGATTAGTTTGCAGAGAGTAATTCGTTCGTAGTGAAAGATTAGTTTACAGTGAAAGATTAGTTCGCAGAGAGTGATTCGTTTGCAATGAAAGATTAGTTCACAGAGAGTGATTAGTTCGTAGTGAAAGATTAGTTCACAGCCATAGATTAGTTTGCAGAGAGTAATTCTTTCATAGTGAAAGATTAGTTCACAGTGAAAGATTAGTTCGCAGAGAGTGATTTGTTCGCAGTGAGTGATTAGTTCGCAGAGTGTGATTTGTGAGTGATTCGCCTTATAACCCGGTGCGCCTTGTGTATTAATTCTGGTTGCGATTATTTTAGAAAGCCAAACCACACAGCGCATCACACATGATAACACACAACTGAAGCACACTGGGAGCCAACAATGACATTTAACTCTGTTATCACAATTAGAATATGCTCAACAACAATTGTTAGTGTATGGTTGTGTAACCCATATCTGTGCAACGTCGCCTCGTGCCTCCCAATAACTGGAGACTCGAGACTTGTGTTTTTGAATTTTCGATGCATGGTGCGATGCAGAAGGACGACTCAGACGCATGGCTGACGATTTTTTCCGTGGTCAAGACCTCTTTTTATTTCTCCTTTTTTATCGATGCAGGAAAAACACACACTCTCTCTGCAAAACAACATCCTCACAACAACAATAAGGTGACCACCAAGAACAAAAATAGTGACAACCGCCTGACTCCACAAATCTCCGTCCCTATTGATCTGCAACTCCATGCACGCCCATCTCACCGGTATTGTCAAAACCCTAGTGAAGCAAACTAATTCAAGGCTTGCCATCATTCCGGGTGAATTAACCACAGAATTTCAACCTCTAAATATTGGTGTTAACAGGGCGTTCAAAGTTAAATTGCGAGCTGTGTGGGAGCATTGGATGACAGAAGGCACATTCACCAAGACAGGGTGGCAACGCCATTATCTGCCAATGGATCATGGATGCCTGGGCTAAAGTATCAGTCTCAAATGTCGTCCGACTTTTCACGAAGGCCGGAATCATCACTGAACAACTAATCAACAGAAACGAGACTGACTCAGATAATGACGAGAGAGATTCGGGCATCCTTGATTGACAGTTTTGTTTAATGTGCCTTATATATGAAAATAGACTCGTTCATTGATACTGCGCCTTATGGTCCGAAAAACATACGGTATATGTAATACTTGTATAACCTTTAATATAAAAAACATGAGTATACATTTGTCTGTTCATTGCTGCTAATTTATCACATTCATCACACTCCACCAGCTTTGCGCTCCTACTCATGCAATGATTTGACAAATTAAATAAAAACAGTTCATGGTTACAGTTTCCTCTCAATATTCTCATATAGTTCTCCAAACCCCACCTATGGAAATGTTGGTACACTTCTTCAAACCTACAATGTTATGTTATGTACGCTAAATTTATTTACATGAACTTTTGATAATGTCATTTGACAATCAAAAAGATTGTTACAAACAGGGAAAAAAGATGCTTCCAGACATGCATAGGTGTTTTAAATGTATTCCCTGTGTTAAAACACAGAGCCACAGCCATTATTAAATGTGGCTGAACAATGCAGCTCATCTGACACTAACACTGACAAGAAGACACTAAAGGTATAGTGCCTGTTCAGATGTCCCCTAATGGCCAAAGTAAACACAAATGAGCGCATAATAAAATTAATATATATATATATATATATGGAGGTAATTAATGGCAACATAAATTGTCTCTTTATTTCATAAAAACCCAATAGACCCACTCAGCCACTGTAAAATATAAAAAATGACTTTCAACATGTTCCAGAAAACTTGGGATGAAGATAAATTAAAGTTAAAAAGTCAGACACAAAATTCAGGAGGCTCTGTCAATGCAATAGAAGGTTAACTGAAAACATATTTGTCTAAGGAACAGTTAACCAAGTCAAGAAATTCAACCTGTTAGATTTAAGTTTTAGGAAGAAAGAAGTATATTTCATGTATAAAGACCCAGTCTTGCTGGGTGATCTGACCTTTAAGAGCTCAGGTGGTATCGCATTAGGAATTGAAGTGATGTGAAGAAAGTAGCAACAAAGATTTCATTAGGAAATCAGTGTTTGAACAATCAGTAGAGTAAACTAAAAATTGCCCCCTGAGACTGCACTGTATACTGTAATATAAAAAGGATGACTGAAACAGAAACTAACCATTTCACTGGACCTAATCTTACCTGTGATGCACAGAAAAGACAGTAGAAATGTTGTCAGAAGAGTTCGTCTTAATTTAGGAACACAGACATTGCATTGGTTTATGTGCCAAATGCAAGAGGATCACTCAGACTACTATCAATTAAAGATACCAAAGCTTGCAGTTTATGATTTGGACTTGCATGAGTACCAATTGTACCAATAATTATACTGAATGGAGGAATGCATACAGTAGCAATCATAAACAATTACAACTATTCAATGGCATATACTTAGAGATGAGAGAACAGTACCAGGCTTCATTCTTCCTACATTACAAAAGTGTGGCTTTGTAGACACAGACAGTGTGTGCTTCACTGACCTGCCTGCAGTCCACATATCTCCCTTTACTATTTGATGTAATGTCACGTGTATCATGAACAGAGGAATACAACACAGACACAAATATCCCACTGAAGAGAATTATTGTGCTGAAATGAAACAACATAACAGTGTAATTGTTTTAGAGTCATGGGGGGAGGTGAAGGTGGAGGGGAGGATAGTTCATGACTCTATCACTGGAACACTTAATATGGATTGATTGAAAATTCAAGTACAATTGAAAATTAAACTAGCACAGGACTGTGGTGCACACACTGTAAGCCATACTAGTTAATGGCAAATTATTTAGAGGCAAAATAGGACGATATTTGTGGTTCTTCCCATAAAAGAGCGAGTTTAGAGGAGCAGAATGGATCAAAGTTGTGGCATGTGTTTTTGTGTGCATGTGGCATCTGTGTGTGTGTGTGCCTGTTGCCTTAAAACCTCACCACGATCACTTGGATATAAATATGCTGAAATTTTCAGGAAGGTACACCAACAGAAGTATGTTTTTTAGTTAGTTCATGGTCCCAGGGAAATTCATTTTTACATCTTATATTGAGGATATACTATAGATCTCACCATCAACCGTACCTAACCTTACCTAAAAGACGACAACTGCAGGACCTACTGGACTACAGCCACCCCTCAAGGTTTTTTTTATTTGAAACCAACACAGTGTGAATTTTTGTTGTTTTCATCTTCTTGGACTTTTTTTGTAAAGAACTGTTTCTGACCTTCTGAAGGTTCCCTTATGATATGTCCTAAAATTAAAAAAAGTATTTTATTTATTTTAACATTAGTGTTATGTTCGAACAACGTAGGAAGCAGGTTGAACCCAAATGCAGTAGGGAGACTCTCTTCAGGTACAGCAGGTGATTTATTTACAGGTGAGCAGTAACAATAATGCACAGGAATGTAGCATCGATTGCAGGCAGGTTCTTTAAACAGCATGGATGAGCAAGAACAATGTCTCTTTGGAATAAAATAGCAAACACAGGCAGGCTCTTCCCCAAACATCATGAACGTGGAATTCTCTTCTTACTTTGAATTACTAGGAACACAGAACATGACCTGAACAGAAACACTCACGATAGCTACAGACTAAACTCAAACAATGATGCCACGAACAGTGAGGGAGGGAGGTATATACACCCAGGGCACCAGGTGACACGAGTGAGACTAATGACTAATACAACAGGTGAGTGTGATGACACCAGTATTACACCACAGCAGGACCAGGGAACAAACAGACCTCACAATTAGTTTACATCCCACTGACACAGTCCACCTAGCCATTAGTGATATTTTTTATTCTCATGTCCTCTGCAATCCACAGAGAAAAATTACTTGCTTTGACTCAGTCCACACCACATATAGGGGAGACTGGGTATGGTTGTGCTTCAGCACCTGTAACTCACTGAATTTTGAGCTAGAGTT